TATAATGGTACTAACCCAATATACAACACTAGACAACACAATTTTATGGATATTATTATTATGAGGTGGTCGCCAGTTTCAAAAGAGCCCAGTGAAGGGGGGTAAAAGAACAGTTAAAAAAAATGAACTTAAGTTTGAATACAAATTCTGAGACTACAGGATTAAAGGGAAAACAAATCCAAAATTAAAAAGTTAACGTTAAGCATTTTACTTCCATTTATCCTAATCATGTTACCAATTTTTATTGCCAAATACAAATGAAGGTGTATAATATTTCATAATAGTTGAGTTTTTATAATAGAGAAACTTCCCAGAAAGATAAAATTAAGAGAATAAATTTAGTACCGACTAATAATATCAAAAGATATCCAAAAAATTTATTAAACTAATGTTAGAAAAATTATATCTATGATAGGTTTATCTCCATAGAGGTGTACTGGCTTGAATCCAAAAAGTGTATTGACGCATTAAAAGAACAGAAACAAATAATAATATAATAAACAAAAGAAGGTAATGAACACTTAAAAATTGCCTATTTGAATTTAAATTTACAGGAAAAATTTGTTTTTAAGGTTTATAATTCAATAACAAAACTATTTATTACATTTTTAATAACAAAACTATTCATTACATTTTTCATGAGTAAGAGAAACATAATAACAAGGGGCAGGACACTAAGTGGGATTTCTCAAACGCAGAAAACTTTAAAATAAACCAAAAATATTATAAAACTGCCAATTCATAATATTAAAACTAATATTAAAAGTTTTTCCCAAAAAAACTAAGACAAAGGAAAATAAATGAAGAAAAATGATTATAAAAATATTTCATGAACAAAAAAATATTTTACATAAACAGAGAAATATAAATCAATCAAAATCAAAACGAAATCAAAACGGCGCCTGAAAGAGAAAAGAAAAAATAATTACAATTAACATAGGCAATTTAAGGAATTTATTTAATTTGTAAATTTATTTTTTATCTTTGGCTAGAAAGGTATAATATTAATTAACGTAAAGAAAAAAACAGACATCAGGAAAGAAACTAATAACTCTATAGAATTAATACACACAGTGGCGTAGCTAGGAATTTTCCTTAGAGGGGGTCCATACATATTAAATCCTGGGTTGGCCCTTTTGCTCTGCCTTCGGCCGGGTTTATCTTAAAAATCATAACAACATCTTCGACAATATATATAAATATTTTTAAATGCATGAATAATGTTATTATAATTTAGTAGATTATTCTCAATGACTTTATAATAATACTACCCATAATAAATTCAGTAGTAATATAATATCCTTTCACAAACATCAAAACCAGAAAAATATAAATATTAATGGTATTTATTTGATACAAAGTCACTTTTAAGTCTTTTGAACGTATAATCTAAAAAAAATTTGCTCTGGGAGGGGTCCAAACCCGAAAACCACCCCCGTAGCTACGCCACTGAATACACAACACGGAGAAACTAAAATTAGAAAGACTGAATATACTATTAGCTAGTTACATAGAGAGTAATCGCCCCACGAGAGAAATAAACCAAAACTACTACCGATTTAAAGTAATAAATGAAAAAGTACTGTATATTAACTGGAGTTTGTTCGTATTAAATACCTGAGAAAGGATTAAAGTCATGCTTCCATAGAAGTATTAGAGCATTAAAACCACTAAATAAAATATCTGGGATAAATATGGATAAAAATTAACACTTATTCGCTATATAAGGTTCAAGTTTATCGACCTAATTTAGGGGGACCTAAAGATTTTAAGATTGACCTTATATATAACCTAAATAAATAAAAATATTTATATATGAAGATATGTATATGGTGTTAAAACCGATCGATGCATATAATATAATATTATATATAAATAGATTAATATATAAAATATAAGGAAAATTGATTATACTAATACAGACATGATAATGTAAATCAAATAATATCATTGAAAGTAATAATACAAATGAATTATTTATATTTTAAGTTGAAAGTTGTTAAACTAGAATACCCAGATATAGCTTATGTAAAATTTAAGAACCTTACAACTAGCTAAAATACTAAAATTTAACAAATGTTGAATTTAACTATATACAAAAAATCATCTGTATATAATGTTACAAGTTTAAAAATCTAACTAAAGTTAATATAATAAAAGTAAATATAATTTATTAGTTATGTTAAGGTATACAGACATTAAGAGCAAAAATGAATAAATACAGCTAATGTATAATCAAAAACCATTGAAAGCTTATTAAAGCATTTTACCAATATTAAATTTCAACTATAAAATTTAATGTCATAAATGTTTAGGGGATAAAGAGTATCTTTAATTAAGAAGGGACCTAGATTAATTAAGTTACTATGTAAATTGAAACATGTTTAAAGAGAAAATTTCAAATTAAGAGAAACAAAACTATAATTTGACTACTTCTGTATTTATATAACCAGACAAAAATCTGATATATCATGTAAATAAATGTGAAAATATTGGTCCTATAAAAGTAAGAGGACATTATAAGTTAAAAAATATCCAATTTTAGCTAATATTAAGTCAAAGTATTAAGAAATAATGAATATTAAGTTTTAATACTAACTTTCACACCTTTTTTTACATTTTCGTAAAGCGACAAAACGTATAAAGTTAATCATAATTCGAGACTACGGGACGAAACGAATATATTAAGATTGTATTGGTTGATATTTAGCAATCTAATAATATTATAATATGTCTATAATTGTATTATAAATTATTATAGCAAATTTTATCCATAAATTAAAAATGTAATAGATAGTATTCTAAATAATTTTATCCTACCCCCCTCCCCAACTTATACTTACCCCCCACCCCCTTTTAGATATTAGATGCAAACTGTTCCTACCCCCCCCCCCTCCCGCTCATGTAGACACTGTTAACCGTGATTGTAAAGGCTAGCGACGCCCCTGGTTATCGTCTAGATACGGACAAAGATTCTACCTGTGGCTCACTAATGGGGCACCTCTTTTTAGACTACCATTGATAGTAGTGTTCAATTTAGGAATGCTTCAACAAGTTCCAATAAGTGCTGAATTCGGGTGAGGATGTTGCATCAATCTAAATCAAATCTCGCTATTGACAAAAAAAAATGTAGTAAAGCAGCAGATTCTAGAATTTAAGAATTGGCTAGAAAACATCAATCAATTTTCTATAAGATAAGACATCAACATGATTTTGCCTTGCCAATACATTTAAAGGATTAAGCTGTATCAAAACTGTTTCCAACTCATAGGCTATAATTTATACTTCGCTAAACAATTGAAATGAAATTAGACCCGACCAACGAGTAATTGCGAGAATGATCCTAGATCAATTCGACTATAACTAGGGTTCAGGAGTCAACGCCAAACGCAAATATGCGCAAAAGCAATGACGATATTCGAATTTGCGCTGATTTCAAAATTACGCTTAGTGTTGTTAAATAGATGGGTCAGGTTGGCATGGCCAAAACCCAGCCAAGTTTGCCGAAAAAACGATCTTAAACCCGAGCCAACACATTTAGTGATAGATTTGAACTGACGAGACCCAATGGCTCTCATAAACTGACCCATCTGGTTGTTCCGATGTGTAGCTTCCATTAGCGGCTTGCTGGGTCACAGGTTTAGAGGTTTTGATATCAGAAAGTCGTTCTAAAATATTAAGTTCTAGTAATAAATTGGCGCTGCCATTATATTTTATTCCACGAGGAAAAATTATGTAATAATATTTTAAAAATAAGCCTAGTTAAAAGTTTTTGATACCAGAAAAATCTAAAAAATGTATCTAGTAATAAATTGTAACCACCATTATATTTTACTCCGGATATAGTAATAAATTGGCCGGTCAATATATTATTCCACGAGGAAAAAATGAAAATTTTAAAAATTTGTTTTAAACCTAGTTAAATTTGAAACTAGAAAGATGTTCTTAAAAAGTGTCTAGTAACAATGCAGGGACGAAGCGTGAAGCAAGGGAAGCATTGCTTCCCTTGTAATTTTTTTTACAAAATTTTTAGATAAACTTAATATAATCTTTATACTATGCTAAAAAAAAAATAAAATTACTTCCTTAAAATAATTAATATATTTTTTATAACGTTAAAAAGATTTATAATATTTTACTACGATAAAAAATTTACTATTATTTTTACTACGTTCAAAAATTTACTATTATTTTTACTACGTAAAAAAATTGACGTTAAAAAATTTACTATTATTTTTACTGCGTTCAAAAATTTACTATTATTTTTACTACGTAAAAAAATTTACTATTATATTTACTATGTTAAAAAATGATGGAAGCAAATTTAATATTGCTTATTTTCCTATAATAAATATACTAATAAATCATAATTCATACGATATTTTCTTGGTGTAATTTTTTTATTACGAAAAAAATATACAAGAGGGAAGCAAATCTAATATTGCTTATTTTTTCAATAAATAAATAGAAAATCATGTTATGATATTGTTTAATTTTACGATTAAAAAATAAGCATTGGGGAAGCAAATAAAAAATTGCTTATTCTTTTATAAAAGAAAAATAAATTTTTTATATTAAATTTTTTTTCTTACTTTTTTAAAAAAAATTTTTTTTTCTTTAAATTAATGTTTAATAATTGTAATTGTATTATTGAAAATTTATTAATATTATCATTTAGCTCAAGAAATTTTGATACCAAAAAATTAATTATTGAAAAAGGAAGACCAAAGCCAATTTTAAGAAATTTAAAAAAAGAAATAAAATCTTGCATTCGTAATTTTTCTATCGATAAATATGATAAATATGAATGGCTCACTGGATGTGAATTTTCTAATTCTCTATATTGTTGGTCATGCTTATTATTCCCAAAGGAAAAAATAACAATAATATTAGATGAAACAATTGATATAAATAATAAATCCCAACTGGCTGTAGTTCTTCGATATGTTTTAAATAACGGGACATTATATGAAAGATTTATTGAATTCTTTGATGTTACAATGCATTGTGATGCTAATTCTTTATCAAAATTTGTCATTAAATTTTTGAATGATAAGAAAATTATGAAAAAATTGATAGGTCAAAGTTACGATGGCGCAGCTGTTATATCAGGTGATTCACATGGACTGCAAGCAAAAATTAGAGACGTCAATCCTTCTGCACTTTATATTCATTGTTTTGCCCACAAGTTAAATCTTATATTATCAAAATCTTGCAGCAAAATTAAAGAATGTAAGGTTTTTTTTGCAACTTTATCTGGTTTAGCCAGTTTTTTTAGTACATCATCTAAGCGTACAGCAGAATTTGATAAATATGTTAAAAAAAGATTACCACGAGTAGCCCCAACAAGATGGGAATACAATGATCGGCTGGTTCAAACAGTTTTCAATTATTTGAAGAATCTAGTCGTTTTTTTTGAAAGTATGATTGATGAAGAATCTGATATTGTTTGGGATAATGATGTTCTAATAACATCTCGTGGTTATTTAAATATATTAAATGATGCAAATTTTCTAATTTTGTTATATTTTTTTCAAGAAGTTTTTCTAGAATCCGATTTATTATTTGATATACTTCAAACTAAAATTAACGATGTATCATATTGTCTTAAAAGTATTAACGATTTCAGAAATTCAGTTAAATCTAACATAGAAAACTTTGATGTTTTTTGGAGAAATTTAAATGTAAAGGAAAATATTGAAGACAATTTAGATAAAAAACGTAAAAGATCCGGATTGCCTAATACAAGAGAATTTTATAAAAATTTGATAATTAAAATAATAGATACTATAATCAATGAAATTGATTTTCGGTTTGATACATTAAAAAATATCAAATTCGTCGAATTGTTAGATATTAGTAAATTTCAAATATTTAATCAAAATTTCCCAAAATATTTATTAGACAATTTAAATGACACTTATTCTCAATTTTTCGACTTACACAATCTGGAAACCGAATTAAAGGTAGTGTTTCGTGACGATGAATTTAGAAAGAGAAAAAATGTTTATGAAATACTTGAATTTTTAATTAATACCGATTTGATGAAAAGTTTTAAAGAGTTTTTTAAACTATGCAAATTCATTTTAACTTTGGCTGCAACAACAGCAAGTGCAGAACGGGGGTTTTCATCTTTAAAAATAATCAAATCTTATTGTAGAAACAGAATGAGTCAAAATCGATTATCGAATCTAGCTTTGATTTCTATTGAAAAAAAATTATTGAAAAATTTAAAATCTAGTAGTAACTTTTATAATTCAGTACTTGATCATTTTACTCAAAAACAAAGACGAATTCCGCTTATTTATAAATCTTAATTTTTTATGGTTTGACTAATAAATAAAACAAAAATTTTTTTTGATTGCTTCCCTAGTAGTAAACTTGACGCCTCGTCACTGAAACAATGACACAGTTTAGATATATATTGCATAAAGTAAATAAGATTGATAATAAACTTGAATAAATATTGCTTATATTGCTAACCTGCATATTACAAGCAAAGAGCTTAAACTTATTTTATAAGGTATGACTATATTATTATAATTAATGTAAATATTATTAATTAAGAAAATAAAAATACTTTTGATAAAAAAGAATGTTTGATTAATAAAATTGTATCAGTAGCTAATTAAATATAAAATTAAAATAAATAATGGACTCTTGATATTAAGAACTAGAGGGTAAAATAATTATTATAAATATAACCATGGTATTACCAATGACATATAATGTCATTGAGTAAAAATGAATACTGCTATTATTTTCTATTTTTTTTTTAACTTGAGTTAAGTTTAAAATATTTTACAGCGTCTACAACTGTTGTAAAATGACTCTCCGTGGTGCAATGACAGCGGTCAAAATTTAACAGTCAATTTACGGTACACCTGATGTTATTTTCCAAAGTTATGGCATATGAGCAAGAGCATTTTTTTCTTGCTAATAAGCGTATGGCGTAGGACATTATCACCCCTATTTTTGTTTAATAATATATAATTTACCGCGAATTGGCGCTAACTGTAAATGCAATGTTATCATGATAAGGCTATGATAAAATTTAAAAAATATAAGTCATGCGCAAAACTATTATAAAAATGAGAATGAATTAAATAGGTATATTATGTTTCAAATATAATATAAAAAATTTATTTTATTTTGAAAAATATTAACGATAAGAAGAATCAGCTGTAATTTGGATAGCGTACGCAACTCTTGAATATAACGCTGTACTCTATATTCAGCGTAACTGGAAACCATGGAAAAGTGATTAAAAATTATTATAGATTTTGCTTTAAAGGTGTTTTTTATATATTAAAGTACAACAATGAATTCAATTTTCACGCAAGATTTTGTGAAAAGATTAAATGAAATATCAAGCAATAAAAGTAGACAGAAAATGATGGATTTCATCAGATTTCTAAGTGCTAAAAGTTTATTTATAAACAATTGATTCCTTATTTCTAAAATTTTTACATAAATTTAGATCAGAATTTACACTCAACTTCTCCTTTATCTTATAAATCGTCAAGTATTCATTAATACTAATCTTATATTTAGCAAATTTATCTTTAGTTAGCGATCTACTTTACTTACCAATGACCTCTAGTAAAAAATCTTCCTGGGCCTATTGGGAAGAGCATATTTTATTGCAAAATTGGGAAAATTATTTAAAGGAACAAAATTTTGATTTTCAGTCTACTAAATATGAAGTTTTACTGCTCAGGTCACCAAAAAATTATAATATCACAAGTGACATACTTAGTTATAATGAAGATATATCTAAAACTCATAATAATATGGAGGACAAAAATATATGCATGAAATTTGAAGAATCAGTGATTGAATTAAGGAGAATCTTTTTAAGTTTTGTAAAATTATCAAAATTATATGAAAGACTTGGTTAAATATAAAAAATATTACTTCTTATTGATTATATATTAGGTAATGGCATTCCCAGAAGACTTAATTGTGTTTATTATAGAATGAAACGCAAAGCATATGCCAATTCTTTTAAGTTAACTGGACAGTTTACTTTGGCTGAAATTATAAATTCGTGGAAGGAATATCAAATCTTAATTAAAAATGAACCAAATACTTGTGCAAATGATGATGAAGATAAATTTGCTATTTATCAAACATTAAGCGAAACATTAAAAAGACCTATATTTATTTTAAAAACAATAATAAATTTAATACAAGAAGAGATAGCTAAGGTTAACAGTCAATCCCTAGTTCATAATAATTTATCCACAAATATTAATTATGTTCTGGGAATTCATGATCAGAATAGTTGTAATATACATGTAGAAAAAACTCTTATAGAAATAATATATAAATATATAACCACTATTTTGGATATAAATTTGATGCTTCTACGAGATAATATGAGCATATCAATTTTCACACAAACACTGCATCATATAAATATTGATTGGCAACCTATATATAATTGGATTTTGTCAAATCATTTCTCGTTATTCAAAAATGAGAAGGAATTAATTACATTTTGGTAAACTTATGTCATATATATTATAAGTACGATGTTTAAAAAAAACTGTTTTTTTAATGTAAAAAATGGGAGGAAAAGTATCGTAAATTTAATTCTGAAAAAATAAAAAAGTTAGTTTTTTAAATAAATGCAATTTAATTAAAATGAGCAAGTTATAAAATGATTTTGATAATGAAAAATTTGCAATAATATTACTAGATTATATTTGTCATAATTTAATAACAATATTAAAATTAATCATATTTTATAGGCACACTACCATCAAATTCAAATTCATTGATTATGTTTATAACTCTGCCTCACACTTCATACATGATCAAAAGGAATGTGATAAAGATTCAATGAACACTGCGGAAAAATCTAAAAAGTATACAAAATTCCCCAAAGGAGTTCAGCTCAACAATCTCATGTCCACACCTATTAAAGAAAAAGGATGCAATACAGGGACCTTAGATTCAGACCTAATACTACCAAATATTGATCAAAAGTATTCTACAAGTAATGTACAAGAGGGTTATAGGAAGAATAAAAAATTGTTGAAAGTCAAAACCAAAGAATTAATAGAGTTTCTTAATGGCACAAATGATTTGGGCACTATGAATAATTGTGATGCACATAATTCATCTGCATTAAACCAAGCTAGCACTATCAAGCACAACACAATGACAGTTTCCATGAAAGGCAAACAGATAAAAGAGGCTAATGTAAATACTCAAATTGGTAAGAGCAGTGATATAACTTTTGTGAAATCCATCGATTTTGAAACTAATTATCGACCACCAGTTAAGGTTAAGAAAAAAAATAGCAAATATACTGAAGTTATAAAAGGAGAAATTACCCTAGATCCTAGCATTATAATAGATCCTCTCTCCAATACTACCAACGATAAAATCTTGGGAAACATGGCCAATCAAACCATAAATAAGTTGAAAACGAAGAAGAGAAACATTTCTAAAAATTGTGATATTTTCCATCCTAAAATCGCTAATGAAACAAATGACACAATAATACAAATTTATCCCAAAAGTAGTTCTATACCGGATACAATGTTGCCTATAAATGCAAAAATGAATACAATTTCAGTTCTAAAAACTCAAGATTCTAAGTTTATAAAATCTTCCCACCAGAATAAATCAACTAATTTAAAAGACTCTAAATTGAGATGCCAACATAGACTTATAACCTTATTAAATTGTGTCGTTTCCATGTACGACCCACAAGAAGGGGAATACAACAAGAATAAAATAGCCTGGGACGTAATGGATCAAATTCTCTTTTCACGGCTATACCGTTCAAAAAAAATGTAAAAAACTCTTAAATATATTTAATTATAATCGCTTGTACTTTAAGAATTCATATTCATTACGAAGAAGTGTTGGATAGTTTTTTTAACTCAAGATTATTGCTTTGAAATCAAACTTATCTTATAAAAAAACTGACAATTTTTACAGAGCCGCTTTTTTCATTCATTTTCGTAGTTAGATAAGATGTTATAAAAGACGTTGGTAAAATTATTACTGCATTGATAATTAATAGTGGACCTATGCAAATTAGAGATGCACGTGTCTTGGAATTAGAACCAAACGGCAGACGATCACTGCATATATTGAAATGATAATTCAATTATAAATTATACTTAGCAAATGTTAATGGGAATCTATATCGATTCTGTTATTCAGTGCCTTAACAATGAGCTGTTAGAACCTAGGTGGGGGGGGGTAGGGATTGACGGTCTGGGATATCCTAATATATGGGTTGGGGACCTGGTTTTGCTTCAATTTTTGTCATCGTACTAAAATCTACAAAAAAGATTCACACACCAGTACTAAAGATGACAATAATTTCACCCCAGGATTGGCGGGAGTTGATTTCAATAAAAAGGCCTCTTAGTTGAACCTTTCTTTATTAGGCAACTAAGCCTCATATTTTATGACCGTGGCGGTTAGCGCCGCATTGCAATTTGAGTGCGGATTTAATTCTAAATTAATTTGAAAAAGAAAGAAAATATTTCTTTGCACAGTAGAATAAGTGCAGCTTTTATTTTATTTTAGGAGACGGTGCGGGGCCGATTCACGGTCACGGTGGAAATTTGTTGGAAACATCAAGATAGTGATTCGTTCTTTTTCTTTTTTTGTTATTACATAAAATTTATCATTTAATTTTTTAAGAAAGAATTTTTATTAAATCCATATAACAAAATTTATCATTCAATTTACAAATTTTTAAGAAAAGGAATCTTTTATTCGTGAAGGATATAAGAAAATAATGGTCCCTATTTTCTTTTTCATTTTTATTTATGCAAAATCAATGGTATAATCAGAGTTGTTAACGCTCCTTTTTAAAGTAGCTAACTCCCGCTCCCGCTCTTACCTTCTCAAAAGGAGTTAGTTTCCGCTCCCGCTTCTACATTTTTAAAAGGAGCTAGCTCCCTCTCCAAGTAATGGAGTGTCACTCCATAACCGCTCCTATAATTTTCATTTTTTAGAAGGTACACGAAACAAAATCATATTTTTTTTTTCAAAAAGTTTTATTTATATTAAATGATCTATCAAAATATTTATAATCTTTTATTAGCCTTTAAAAGTAACAAATTTCTAAATAAGAATCTAACAAACATCCACGCCACAATCCCTAAAACCTGTTTTGCAATACTAAATAAACGCTCCACAGGAGCACTAGAGGGAAGCGGGGTATTAGATATTTTTTCATTCAGGTATAAAAAAGGAGGTTGAACAAGTAATAAATATTTTAATATATTTAAAATAGCATCATATCTAATAACCCAAGCTCAACTATAATGAATTTCCCAAAAATAATTATAACCATTTAAAAAAAAATTATTCCAAAATAAAAAAAATATAGTTATCATTTCGAATTTGAAAGAAAGATTTTTTACTTTTATATACTTTTTTAGATTAGAGCTGCTCACTTTTGAAAATGAAATATTTTTACTTAAACACAAAAGGCATTTTGCCATTAAATTTGTTTGATCATTTGGAAAAACATCTTTTAGAAGTTTAAAATATTTTTTGCATGATGGAAATGACAATTCGATTTCTTCTTCTATGATCTCTAAATCCATAATATCGAAAACTATTTTTTATTATATATCTATCAAGTGAATATTAATATGACTTAAAAGATTTTCCAAAAAATTTTCAGTATAAAATGAAAAACTTGATGTTTAATATTTAAAATGATTAGAAGAAAAACCAATATAAAACTCGGCTCAACATTTAATAATGGATAAATTTAAATAAAATAAAATTTCATTTTTATCGAATTTTAATTAACAAATATTATTAATATTTAAAAAATAATTTAATTTATACCTTAAATTTAAAGGAGGGTGGAGCGGCGGCGCTCCTCTATTTTAGCCCTAAAAAGAGCTAGCTCCCGCTCCTCATTTTAGGTGTTTTTGGAAAAATGTAGCGGCGCTACAGGAGCGCCGCTCCTTAACAACTCTGGGCATAATAAACGAAAAATAACAATTCATTATAAGTGATTGTATTATTATATCGCGAGGTAACTTAGATGGGGATGTTCATATTTTTAAAGAATAATATCAAAACAATTTTACGAGAATGGACTAAAAGAGCACTTAAATATATTTTTAACGTCGATATCAGTTATTCGTAAAGAAAGTAATTCAATATCTTCGAAAACGAATACTTTTTGAAAGTTCCTGATACAAATAAAACTGTTAAACCAAATTTAAAATTTTATTTTTGACTACTAAAGTACTGGTGGCTTTATAATTTTAATTTTAGCTAATGTTATTTCCCAATGGGGTGTCCTGAACCATTAGCCCAATTTAAAATGCTAAGGTAAATTTCTTCATTCATTAATACTTTTAATTTAAAAATCATGATTAGTAGCTTTCTGATGTTGGTATATCCCAAATCAAGCATTTTTAGAACTCACTCTCATGCCTCTTTCTATTTGAGGGTACTTTTTTAAATTATATTATGAAAAATACGTTTTAGTGAATATAATTTTCTGAGGATAAATTAATTGTTTATAACGAATATTACACAAAATAAATAAGCAACCCAAATAATTTATAAAAATGTTTATATGGTGTGATTTGACAAACTTAAGGAAGGATAAAATTATATCTAAATTAGTTTATTATTTAATTATATGGTTGTTTTTGTAATCCACAATCCTTAAAGTATATAAACATTACTATACTTTCACCGATACCTTTCTTATCTTTTAAACCCGAAAGCCAAGTGGAAGTGTCAATGGAACGTGCTTGATTTTATACCTTAACACTAGTGTTGTTAACGGCTCGTTTTGAGCCGATTATTAAAAACGGCTAACTCAATATTTCATTCAGAAAAATATTGCGCAAGCCTGAAGATTTTGCTCATAGAAGGAACAAAAGTTTAGACATATATTCTCGAAATCTCGAGGCCTAGGCAATATTTTCCTGGCTAAAATATTGAGTTAGCCTTTTTGAAAAATCTCAAAACGAGCCGATTAACAACACTACTTAACACCAATCTTTTATCTATCTTGGTAAAATTTTACGCTACATCTAACCCGTTTAATAAAATTATGTTATATGAAATAATAGAGTAAAAAATAGAATGGTGGTGAGCAGTTTCGATCAAAAAAGGAAAAGGTTTTATCATACAAGGAAAATTATCCTTATTTTTTATATATTTAAAAAAAATGATAATCCTAAATGTCATTCTTCTTTGAATTTTGATTATTTTTTTTCGAGATTTTTGGGATCTTTTTAAATTATTGTCATTTTAATTTAATCAATTAATGTCATATTTTCTTAATTTTTTCCTTACCGTTTTTTATTATTCTTTTTTTTGTCTTTAAAATAATTTCCTTATTTTCCCTGTAATCTATCATATTTTTTGTTATTTTTAATTACATCCGATAATAACCCAACTCAAGGAATCTGCAACTGATGGGAATTTTTTAATTGGGGAAATAAGTTAAACAAATATATGGTTAAAGATTAGAGAGATATGGGTTAGCGTTAATTAAGGATTTGCGAGATATGGGCTAGGTGGGGTTAAGATATATTAAAAATGGTTTGTTATCAAACTTTAATCATCTTTATTAATAACTTGCCAAATCTAATAGGTTAGTGTTGTTAAACGGCTCAATTTTTAAAAACGGCTTACACTATATTTTAGCTTAAAATATTACGCAAGCCTGGAAATTTGCTTATAGATAGTAAAATGGGTTGATCATCTATTAACGAATCTTGAAGTTTGCTTATTTTTTTAGAAATATTGGATTGGCCGTTTTTAAAAATCGAGCTTTTAGCATCACTATAACAGATCATGATTAATAATTCATCAATTCTACTTCATTATTAGAATTTGGAATTCTGACATAATCTTCCCATTGAAAAACACATATCTTATTAGATTCAGATATGAGCTATTAGATGGTTAAAAGGAAATTCGGGAAGAAGAATGGTTGGAATAGAGAATTGAGAAAAGATGGCTGAGAAAATAAAAATATTTTTTTTAAAAAAAATGATATTTTAGGAATAAGTTTAATGACAATAGAATTTTTATTTAATATACAAATAAAAACAATTTTCATTTTTTTGCTTAAAAATTTTCCTTTTTGATTAAACCTTTGGGACTTTTCTTTTCTTGGACACTTTCCATTTTTGATTAACCATTTTCCTTTTTTATCGGACTTTATACATTTTTTATCAGAGATATTATCCTTTTTTAATTGCCGGCGGTTACTCCCCACCCCAAACACACCATATAGCTCCGTTCACCCCTATAAGTATTATATAAATTATTAACGAGAATTTCTTTAATATAGTTAAATTAATGTATACAAGTATATATTGTGTAAAACGTAATTTATAAAAAATAACCATTCATTTTAGATACACCGATCTTATTAAAAAGTATGTTCCTAATCATGACCAACTAGATTTTCGCGCTATCGTTCTCGCTCTCAAAAATATCGTTCTTCCAGATTTCGATGATTCTTTACCCATCGCGTCGAATCTTACACGACGGGATATTATAAACTTGAAAATATTTCATCAGAAATGTAATATATTATAATAATTTTTAAAATTTCAAAAAAGCAAATATACTAAAATATGTTTGCTTTATCTAACCATGTATATAAATTACCCAGTATTCACATTTAGCGCGAATTCGTGGCGAAGTCTCTGCGAATTCGCGGTGAATGCAGGGTTGAGCCTTCAGTATGATTTATTTGCCTTTATTTCCAGCAAATAACTATATAGTCGAATCCATCGAAGGTGACATTAATGGAACAACGGTTGAATCAGTCACGCTTACAAGGATGCCTAACCGCTTTCTACCACATATCCCTACCCACAATAACAATAATACATCTTCGTTATATAAATCTGATGTCATAGATAGATCTAAGAAAATATTATACCAAGTCGACTACAAGACAACTTTAAAAGCTCGAAAAGAGCTAGTACTTTATTTGAATCGATTGATTAAAGATAAAGAGCCGCAGAGTGAATATATAGATCGTGAAAAGGAAAGAAAAAAAATTAACAAAGTTAGAAAGATAAAAGTTCATAGAGATGTTGATTGGGATACCTTGACTAAAGAGATCAATAAAAAATTGGGATCTAACTTCACTATCACTGAAATGATAAGAAAGTATACAATTTTTTTTAGCAATGATAAAAATATTTCTAAAAATTGATAGAGTTAAATGTTTTTGCAAGATTTAAAATTTAATTAAATATTGTAATTTTAGTTAAATTTTATAATTATTAATAAAGAAAATTTTATTTATATATGAGTTTTTAAAATGTAACAATTTCTAGTGCCTCATCTTGGATCGATAGATTCAGCATGGATCAATTTATGAACTTGGATATTGCCATGCAATGATCTAGCAGATCCTATGTTTGGATTAAACATTGATTAATATCTCTTTGATTGCTTAATACGTTATTTATTATAAAAATTTTATGACCCCTCTCTCTAAAAATATAGGTATAGAAATCTTAGACCATATGTACCCGAATATAAAGAAATTGGATTTGTAAAAACGATTATAAAATTGAAGGAAAGATACATTCCTATCGTGACGAAAAGCATAAAACTCAAGGAACGTTCTCTCGGTTCCTCAAGAGCCACTGATATTGGAAATGGACCTCCTGATATTTTAAAAGGTTTATTTTTCATTTATTAAAGTTATAATATATGTTGCAGTATAGGCTAGTATTGTATATGGTATTTTTGGTATATTGTTATATTATGGAAATTCCAGACTAAAATAATGGATTTATTTAAATTAAGTTGGTGTAAGGTATGATAAAATATATAACGCGAAAGTGGCAAAGTTGGAAATTGATCTACTTCTCGATTAGATAAAAAGCTTTTATATATAAATTTATCTAAGTTGTATTTATATTAATCATGTAAATATATTAAATAATTTAACATGAAAACAAAAGTAAATATCATCCCTTCAATGGCAAAAAATGAAATTAGGTGGAAAATTAGGCACTAATGAATTTAGAGCAAAGTTACCTGTGGATCCCGATAAATTCTTTTAGCCGATACGATATATCACGATTTTAATTTCTAGAACTCAGGTTGAGAGGGAATAGAAAAGAAAAAACTTAACAGAATTATAGAATGGGAACTAGTTATTCCAGAATATTCTAAAACTACAACCAGGGTTGGGAAAATTTTCAAAAAATTGTATTCCAATATAAATACAAATACGTTAAAAAAAATATATATAAATATTAAATATCTATAAAATATTTTCAAAAAAAGTATATAAATACAAATACTCTGATGAAAACTTTTTGCACAAATAAATTTTATAAAAAATATTTTTTCAAGTCGATTTTTTTGGTATCTCGCTATCAATTTTTTTGACTAATGTATTTATTATTATCCATTTTCTAAAATTATCGAATATCTGCTGTAATAGGTAATCATATATAATATATTTATTATTGCAGCAGCATATCACATAAATTATATAATAATTGCAAATATAATTAATACCCTGTTTTACAGAGCACATGATAAATTTCTGGAGAATGAAGCTCCATTTATGAATTTGGTTTTATTTTTGTAGGTATTACATTTAGCTTTCATTATATTATTAATTTTTGATGATATTTTGAAAAAAATCCATAGTAATTGTCAAATTCCATTTAAAAGATATTGAAGTTATCACATAATCTCCACAAAATTATCTTATAAACATAATAGCCCTAACCCTGCATTCACAGTTAGCACGAATTCGCTGTTAAGTATACAAAATATGCTGTATTTTTATATACTTGGCCCTAAGTTTAAATTCTGGGTAATATAGACACTCCTTTTCTTCAATTATTAAATCCTTATCATCTTTAAAAAAAAACTTGGTTTTCACTTTCGGTAATACTTCTTAGAAATACAATTTTAAAATGGAAGATGTTAATTTTTCGCTAAGTTTGGCCACAACTATTTAATATAATAATTAAATTTGGATTTACATTTTATAATAAAAAATAAAAAGTATATTGTATTCGTCGCGAAATCGTAATAAATACAAAATACATTTTATTTATTAGTATATATTATACAAATACTAAATTTTTAAAATTATCATATAAATACAAATATAAAAAGTATTCGTATTTAGTATTTTAAATAAAATATTCACGTTACTGTCCGCTACAAATCCCCCTCCTTTAACATAATTTTGTATTTTATATCGTTTTTATAGTATATATATATGTATAGTCTTTAATTGTTAAGTATATTTGAATAAATAAAGTTAATAGGAAAAAAAAATTTATAAAAGAAAATGCAAAATTTATTTTATTTTTTTAAATTTTTTTTATAAACTTCATTTTATTTGATAAAATTTTATTGGACAATTTTGTTACACACATAAAACCACAATCAATGACATGTAGCAGTAACTAGACTCATTATTTATTCATTTAACTGTGTATCATCAACACGAATCACATGGTGACACGCTGATTCGGCTTTCCATATAAATAATTATTAAAATTTTATAAATAAACCAGAATAGAGTTGCCACTAGCTGATTTTTATTCAATTACAAAATGCATTTTAATAGAATGAATTGTCAAGTCTAGGTGTATTATTATGTCTTTGACAAAACACAAATTACAAATATAAATATATAATATTTGATAAAAATTAATAAATATATTTTTTGTTCAGGGCGGAAAAGCAGCACATAAATATTGTTTCGGATCCTTACTCTAACTCAAAATTGTAAATAAGCAAATTTCAATTTCACACGCGAATAAAATAATTTAAAGCATTGCTTAAAGAACTTTATAATAGTATTTACATTGGAGACCTGAAGAGACAAATTTTTTACGACCCGACTGGTAAGAAGAAAAGTATTTTTCCGACTTCCAAACATGAAATTGTAGAAATCAAAAGAAATAATCTAAAATTGTTAAATAATATACGAACCTTGATTTAACGGTATCACTGATTAAATTCAAAATTATGATAAAAATCAAACCATATCCGACCCACTTAATATTAATTTCCCGACTTGAACGGTAATCAAAAATAATTTACAGTTGAAAATAAATTAATTACACTTAATATAAAAAGATGCATTACAATTGAAATGAATGAATATTAAAAAAACATAAATAACTTCCATGTTTTAAAAAAATATAATACGACTACACATTTTAATTGACCAAATCAAAGCTGAATATTATTACTTACCCCCCCCCCCCCCCCACAATAAATAAATTGACGTTATAATACAAAAAAACTACAATTTTATAATTAGTCTAGGGGTTGTGCTTTTACCAATTCATCTAGGCAGAAAGTATTTGATCTTCTTATTTACTTACTTGTTTTACTTATGCTATTCTATCGACTAGTGGTTTTTTTACTTTAAAGACATACCCCGAATATGGGTATAATAGGGTATGAAAATTTAACGCCCTCCAAATTTTTACCAGCTTTCCGATGAACTGTGTCTTAGGATTTATGAACTTATCTATCTCTGACTGAATCAAAAATTTGCATAAAAACAACATAAATGTGAAAATATTATAAAAGTCAAATGGGAAACCCATTATTAGTAAGCTAGACAACCAAAGCAAATTTGCATACCGTCACAACACTGACACAGTCGCGTAGACAGAAATTCGCTATGAGGAGGGGGATAATTAAAAAAAATTTAGAATTATTCTAGGAGTTATTTAAGAATATCTTAAGTTTCAGAAATTTATTAAGGCTAGTGTGTGTGACTATAAAATATTGGCAATTTCAGATACATAAATTCAAATATTAATTAGTGATAAAATATTTAATTTATATAATCATATAAATCACTATAAAATAAATATCTTAAAAACAACTTGTAATGGATATATAAATTAGACCTGTGCCTCTCAATTGACGGTGTCGTTCTTTTTAAATTTTATTAATGGCGTTGGCCGGCGGCCACGGCGAGCTATTTAAATATTTCTAAAATGAATTTATAATTCAATGTATTACATTTTTTATAATTCTTAAGCGCTCGTATTTTTAACTCATTGTTAATATAGTTTAATTCATTTCTTTAATTATTTATTGTCTCACTCCTATTTAAATGTATGTATTCTCTCTTTCTCAGAAAAAGGGTAAGGAATAGCATTTTTACTCAGATCAGAATTACATTTAAAATTCCATTGATTTTTATTAAAACAAATTAATATATAAGTTTGGAATGCAAGCAAAATATAAAGTAAGATATATAATAATTAGAAATCAGATTTAGTAAAATTATAATTGCCATGAATTAATAGCATTTTATCAAGAATTATGGAACATAAAGAAGTTCTTTTTGCACTGAGCATTAATCCAGCGATAGATAGAATTCTTTAGCTGGATGTACCGGTTGCAGGTATACAAAGAACCTTCCTAACTAAATTAGGAAGTCTAGGAAGTTCAGTCGCCTTTTCCCAAAATCTTAATGCATCTTCTTCTGATATACTATGCTTACTGAGCAAAATGACATTCATGTTCTAGACTGCTAATGTTGTTATTATCGTTGCTTGAAAGGTAATTTTTACCAGATATTTTAGCTATATATGAACTGGATGTTTGCTCATTATATTCAACTTGAATCTCACTCAAAGTTTTAAATGTCTAATTAAAAATTGCAATGATGTTGTAGAATTCGAATTTATTCTCAAACAATTTTAATATTTTCAAACTCGATCAAGTAGTGTCGCTAATATCGAATGTTTAAAATATAATTTTATTAATAAAAATGTGATATAAAATACTTGAAGTTCGGTAATTAGAAACCTATGGTCAAGCATTTTTTGCATATTTTCTTTTAGGCAGATGATATCTGAACAATCAGATTTTTATATGTGCTTCTATTTCTGCGAAATATAACTCCAAATTTATTTTTGATCCCTTTTGAGAGAAAGAAATTCCACCGAATCTATGAATGGATTTATAATGTGTAAAGTTTGTCAATTATATCCCATTCGTTATTTAAACGTATTAATAATTGCTTTCCTCTTTTAAATAGAACATTATTACAGGAATCTTGTTAACACTACTTATAATTTTTAGCATAATTATTATGCTATGCCAGCGGGTATGGCAATTTAATTTTAAAGTTTCAAAATGTTCATCAAGGTATGGATCAGAATCATCAATACTCAATATTTAGCCTGCCTCATAAATTCATTGCAGGCATATACGATGCTCAACCTCAATTTCACATTTCAAATCATTTACTCGATATTTGAGATTATTTCTCTAATTTTTTAAATCAAAATGTTAATTCTGGCAGCTTTTTTTATGCCATCAACTATAACTAAATTATAAAATCCATACCTAAGCATAAATAATGTTCATTATCCCTCAATCTGACGCTTCTTTTGACATTTGCCTCAGCATTAGTTACCATCTGTATTATTTTGTTTCTTAAATAGAATTCCTCTTCTATACTATTGATTTCAGATAATATGGTTTCACCAGTATGCTTTTGCGTCACGTTTCTAGTTGCCAGGGTAAAATATAAATTTATTTTTATTTAGATGATGAAGACTAAACGTGATATAATTTTAATCCTTGAAATGATCTGTCCATAAATCAAAAGTGATAGAACAAAATTTTCGATTTAAAACATGCACCTTTATAGATGAATAAACATATT